CAGCTTGATCAGAGTTCTCCTTGCAACTCCTAAGATAGGTAAAGCTGTCGAATTAACGAGCTTCATCTTTCCTGCGTCTCGATGCCTGATAAATCTCTGAAAGTAGGGCTATATCAAGTCTTTTTATAGTTAATTTTGCACTCATACTCACCATTTTCTCACTAATTGCTCAATTTATTCTAATTAGTATACATGAAATAGTCCATTGTGGTTTAATATGAAAAGAAGTTCAATTTGCATAAATCGAGCTTAATTGTATACTTAATTAAGTTATTTGGTAAAATTCCAGAACATTCATGGTAAACCATGATGCTGTAGCAAATTTGGAAACAACATTGCTTGCATCTGGAATTAAAGTGCTGACTTTGATGTTGAAGCAATTCGGAACGCAAACTTTTCGGGGATGACATGGAAATTTTAATCCACATCAGCAGTCCACATGGGTCATTGACTACCAAATTAGAAACATCCTAGGTGGACGATTTTATCCCTTCTCAGCCCTAAATGAGAAGAAACAACCATTATAAAAGGAAAAGGATACCTAAAAAAGGAGGAGAGCCACATTTTGGGAAAAAAAATCGAATTAGACAGTAGAGCCCCTGCTGTGAACTGCTATGAAACCAAAGAAGAGTAGAGCCTCTGCTGCTGTGAACTGCTATGAAACCAAAAAAGAAGAAGGAAAACCCTAATCCAAAACCAAAAAAGAAGAAGGAAAACCCTAATCCAGCAATTGTTGATGGTAGAAGGGAAAAAGACCAAGAAGGATAGATTAGGGGAAAGAGGTGGATGTGAGAGCTCAAAGGGAGGGAACTTCCATTGAAGAACAACAACACAGATGGATAACTCCCTATTTCCTTGCTCTCTTTTCTTATTCTATCAATTTTATACGATTGTGATGTGGGTTCCTCTGTTTAATTCAGTTTGTATGGAGAGCTAAATTTTATAAGGGAGACAAGAGAGTTTTATATAGTTTAAGTATGATGATGGTATGATTTTAGTTTATTAAAGAGTTGTTCATGATTTGCGTGTGTGTTTAATTAGCTACTTTTCATACAGAGTTGTTCTCTTATTTTGGGAGAAGAGAGGGAGCAATGAAATCTTCTTTAATACTCTAGTTCCATTGCAATGAGACTTGAAGGGTAATAGAAGGGTTAGAAATAATTCTCTCCTAGAGCCTTGTTAATAGAAATTACAAACGATTATGGAAGTAAGAACTATGCATGACCCTTGGAATTGGGCTTGGGAATCTATTAAAAGGAACAAAAATCTACTACAAAAAAAACAACAACTTATCTATTTAATCTCTTTTAGCCGAACCTTTCTCATTATTTTCTGTTTTTCGACAGCAGTGGCCCTCTGCATTAGTTTTGCTTAATTAGTTAAAATCACCAACACTCATTTGAATGTTACCCAAAAAACTCACTTAATCTCTAGTGATAAAATTAACCAAAAATATAGGTTCTTTGTGGAATCAATAATTTACTTATTACTTCCTACTTGTGATAGTGTATACTTGCATTTATTTTTATGAATTTTACATCATTTTATTATATACATCCATGAGCGATCAATGCCAAATGATATTCAGATGTTTTTCTTCGACCTCCGCCATGAAGTTGTGGGTGGCTCTACAGTCGATAATAGTGTTTCTGGTTGCTTTGTGATTAACCAAGGCCTCAACATACATAAGACTACGTTCCACTGACTCTTCTATCTCTTCTGCTCTCTTCTGAAGAGCAGACAAGTACTTTAGTGCTCCACGTGGGGGTGTTCAACATATTCAGCTAACAATATGTCTATTTCTACTGTCTCATACTCAGCTTCTGAATTCACTTCGAGTTTTTCTTGGAAGGCGTAAATGTCGCCTTCTTGGGCATTCAGATGTTTGATGGGCCCCTTTGCATATGAAGTAAGACGAGTGGCCTCGACTTTGATTATGATTGTTCTGGGTGTGAGATTTCCATCATGGAGTCCTACCGTTCTATTGGGAGGACTCGCATTCCTCTTCTCTGTCTTCAAGTCTGTCACTTCCCCCACCTTTGAGATAGATTGGTTGGTAATTTATATTTTCATCACTTGCGAGCTTCTGGTTCTACTCTATCTCTTGGGGTTGATTGATACTTAAATAAAACAGTCGTTTGGCGGTAACATAAGCCGTGGAAAGGTCTTGAACTCTTTGTTCGTAGAGCTTAATTTTCGCTCACGACTTCAACCCCTCAACAAAATTGAAGACCTTGTCTGTCTAAGACATATTGAGAATATCTAGCATAAGCCTAGAAACTACTTAATATAGTCTTGAATACGGCCAACATACTCTCTTAACTTCCTTCTTGCTATTATCTTGACATTCTCTAGGAAGAACTAAGAGTAGAGTTCTTGTTTCAAGCTATCCCAAGTGTCCACAATACATCGACCATCTTGCATGTCCATGTACTTGGACCTCCACCATAACTTTGCGTTGCTGGCTAGATGCATTGTTGCCAACTTGACCTTCACTTCACTTCTTTTGCCACGGTGTTTGTGGCTTGAAAGTACTGTTCGAGGTCGAAAATAAAGTTCTCTAGAACCTTGGCATCTTAAACCCCATAGAAGGGCTTGGGCTCCGAGACATTTACCTTGTTAAATTGTACTACACCCCCAGTTGGGGTTTGGCTCCCCACCGCTCTCATAATGAGGTTTAATCTGGCACTTAAATCCACCACTTCAGCCTTAACCATTCCAAGGATGAATCTAAAATCTTTAGACAAATTTTGAGACCATCCAAAAGATCGCTTGTTGGACATTGTCTAAGCCCTCAACGTGTTCTTCCATTCGGACAATCGAGTCGTCGAGCTATCCCTACTCTCGAAGCCACCAACAGTTGTGGCCTTGTTTTCTAGGACCTCGACCATATTCATTAATTTGCAGACAGACATTGCCTCTAGGCAGCTTGCCATCTCATCGATTCTGTTGGCTTTAGCGGCAATCTCATTCATGCAAGATTCTAAAAGCCACATTCCATAAGAAACTTCACTCATGCCTTAACTATTCTTCGATTTTAGTTAATGGGTCAGCATGGGACTTGCTGAGTTGTTTTACAGTGAACATGATTGTGTACTAATTTTCAAGGAGCTAACTCGGCTCTGATACCACTGGTTACAATCGCACTCTTGCGGCAACAGAACAACGATTGTGCGGCACTTGTTCTAACCAACAAGCAAGTCAGCCGTGAGAAATTTGGATTTCGTGGACAACGTCGGCATATGCTCGAGCCTTGAGTCATATTTGCAAGAAATGTGTTTAGAAAACGTGACTGAGGAAGTACATTTGAAAACAATGTGAAAAAATTGAAGAAAGAAATGTTATATGGCTATAAGCAAAGAAAAAAACATCAGGGCTTAAATAACATATAACTTAGGGTAGGAAGAATTGACGACTAGTTTCATCTCTACATTTTGGGACATTTTAGCTCGGCAGGTGTAGACAAGATTTTGGTGACCGGCCATATCCCTCCTATTGACACAACATGAAATAGTAAAGACCTATCTAAGATAAAAGCATGTAAAAGGAGTTTGGAACATGCATGCGGCCATGGACAAGCATGACCGGGACATCCTACATGCGGCCATAGGCAACACACTTTGAACAAGCATGACCATGACAAGACGCATGCGCATTTGGGCTGCAAGTGAAAACACAATTGGCCAAAGCTTCAGGCGCATGGGAGTTACTATTAGGGCAGGCGAAGACACCAATTTCCTTTCACTTCTTTCCATTCGACTCCTTTTGACCTATTTTATTAAAATTAGCCAAAATTGAAATATTGGTTCAATTAGAAGATATCGTTGGTATTACCCTATAAAAAGTACATACAAAAGAAAAGGAGTTCGTAATTAAGTAAGCAGCATATCAAGACTCTAAAACAAGTTCCTAACTTGTTTTAGGTACGTGAGCAGGTTGGTTATGTGATAAGGGGTTTAATATATTCAATATATGGGTATTGCTTGAGTTAATTATGATATGTACTATGCATGAGTATTTTTAATCTATAATTCCCAAAGAATTCTTGCCCCGACACGTAGTGTGCTATGTTAGGGACGATTATAATTCCCAACGTCGAATTATGTGATGTTATAGGCCACAACAGAGCCCAGAAAAAATTTAAATAAGCACATAAAGAGGAGTCTATGCTTGAAATAGCTAGAATACCTTTTAATTGTATACCTTTTAACCAAATTGAAAACTTCAGGAGAGTCTGGTTTTGTATGTATTCTCTCATTTTATGTTTCTTGAATGTAACTACATTATACACTTTGTTTTGCTTAATTTAAAGAAAATGTTTTTGTTTTATGATTTTATTCTAAAAATAAATTGAATGAGCAGGCATTACAGTTATATGTTCACAACGAATGGGATACAGTTATGGTTATTATCCACAAGGGTTTATCGTAGGACGAGGGTGTGGCATCAAAGTAGTCTTCAACTCGGGTGGCGTCTAAGAACCCGGACTGGAACAACTTCGAAGAAGAGGGTATAGGACACAAACCGTGGGTCTCAAATTTGATTACGACTATGAAGCAAGTACATGTTTTGAGACCAAAACAATTGCGGCTGGGAGAGAATTTGTAGATTAGGACTGTAAAAGCTATAAAATTGTAATAGAATTTCCATTTACATTTACATTTAGTCATCAATATCATTATACAAATATCTCTCATACATTACAAATGTAAATCCAAGTGTAGAACTAGAAGAAAAATGGAGCTACAGCTCCACTCAAACTAAAGCTGAATTTTTTGTATTAGCACATCCTCCGTTGCACTACCAATTATATAGCAATATTAATAGTAAAAGTAAGTTAAAATGAAATAATAATAAGACTGAGGTTAAAAAAATGAACCAATGGAATGCAACAATTTAGCAAAAAAAAAGAAAAAACGAAGGCCTTGATCTTTGCTTAGCAAATGCATTTCAAATGAATGGAACTAAAATTATTGAATATTGAAATTCTTCCCTCCACATAAGCAAATGCTATGTTATAAATTAAGCTCCCATAAACATCTTAGGATAGAACTCACTCTTTTCATTGCTAATGAAGGGTGATTAGAGGGAGAGGAAATTTGAACACAATTGCTGGGTTTTTCACATAATAAGGAAACAGAACGTAAAATAAAACGTCAAAGAAAAGAGATCCTGTCATGGCTAGGCTTCGTAACCATTCTTATAAGAAAACTATGTTACCCAGAGGGAATCATCCCCCAACCTAAGCTTTTAGTACAGGTATAACCATTTATATGAATCTAACCAGAAAGATGGCCCCAAATGGATACTAAATGAAGATACATACAAAGAAAGCAGCAACCTACAAAATCTGACCTGCCCTTAATCATCCATCTCCACCGATGCACCCTTGAGATGCAAGTGTTTTTCCCTCTTCTGAAACTCAGTCAAACCCTTGCCACTTCCAGTCACACCAACCTTGCCATTTGGATCATCAGGAGACTTGAAAATGCTCTCCTTCTTGCGCCCAGAGAAGAAGCCAATCTGAGAATGTGCATGTATAAATTATCATTGGACAGCCACAAAGGTGCTAAAAGGGGAAAATGTGATAACAAGGGAAGTTATTTTAAGGGTTGGGAAGATACTCAGATACAAATACAACCTGGCATCCCCTCTTGAAACCTTCTTACAATTATGATTCTGTTTTGATTAATGCTAATTGAAATACTTATTCCTTTGGCCTTGGGGTTTTACCTCATACCTGTTGGGCCTCGGTCTAAAACGCATGAATGTTCCACAAAATTCTAAAATTCACAAAACTTACCTTCTTAGACTTGCCTTTTGCTGACTGAAACTGCTGCCAAGCATTCTGCCGTTTATTCTGGGTAACTTCAAGCTGTTCTATGCGCATCTTTGACTTGAAAGCATGTATTTTCTTGCGTTTGGTGGCTTTCTATACAAGAAAAATTACTACATCAGAGCAAGTTTTGGGCGGGGGGTTGTACTCTGATAATAAAAATAAAAATGAACTTCAAGCACCACAGGTACAAACAAATGCACTACTAAATTTGTCTTAATTACTAGATTAATAAATTAGTTGTCATGAAATATTAAGATTATCAACCACTTACTACATCCTCAGGATCATCAGGTTCAATTCGAAGCCTTGATGGTAAATTTCGTGATTGGAAGTCAACAGAAGCAGCTTGAGCAATCTTGCGCTTGATAGCCTGTTTTGTAGCTTCAGCCATTCTTTCTGCTTCAAGCAAAGCATTAACTTCCAGTTGGATTGTTCTTACATTAGCAGGGTCCACCTACAATTAGTAGATATCGTAAGTGTTGACAATGGGTGCAGATGTTTTTACTGTCTACTTAGGTAAAAGGTGAACAATTCCATTTAACAGGGTCTATGATTCGAACTCCTAAACTTCATTGAGTTCTCCCTCATGCTTACTCTCCTTGTACTAGCAGTAGTCTCTTCCCATTATCTCTCAATAACGTGCATTTTTACATTTAGAAGGAAACAATTCTTTAGGGGCTTGGTGGTAATCAAAGCCAATATATACATAACAAATGGGCTTAGAGAGAATGAGTTCAAGATACCTTCCAGTTTTCTGGACAGCCTGTTGTAAACCAAAATGGAAACCTTGGCATTTATACCAACTAATCCAACAAACAAAGGAACTAAAACGAAGATGGCCTTCCAGGAATTCTTACAAATGTTTTTAGTCCCACAAATTAGACCCACCCAAAGGGAAATTTCCCGTATTTACTCACCATGATCCAATTCTTCACAGTTCTAGTTAATTTAGAGAAAATCAGACACAGATCTTTCTGAAGAAGTACTATAATACTCTTTAGAAATAATCAAAAGTCATGCAAACTGCAGAAGTAGAAACCTTACCTCTTCTTTGTTTCCCCAACCATCATAACTAACATAGAAACCATTTACAGTATGGGCTTCAATTGTAGCATCGTACCTGAATATTTATACAATTGAACACAGTCAAGGGAAAATTTTTTGTTTCGATTAAAAACAACAGTCAACGGAAAAGGAGGCAAAGAACAATGAGGTTGTGAGAAGTTTAGATGCGTCCAGCAACAAAATTAGAATATGCCTAGAGATCTAGAAAGTAAAATCAGCTTCAACGGACTAATTATTCTCATAGACTTATCACTCCTTTTGACCAGAGACCAAGTGAAATGTTACTTCGAAGGCTCAAATCAAAATGGCTGAACAGAATTTTTTTTAACAAGAAAAAATACCTACACTGAGAAACATGAAAGAAAACGGGCGAACAAAATGATAGCCTGAAAATGGGAGCCTCAACAACAAGCTATACAGAAAAGGGCTCTTAAATAAAAAATATGACCTAGTGAAGGATTATGAAACTCTTTAGCAATTGAAGCCCAAAGAGACGCTTTAAACCTGACTAGGGACCAACCCTCTTCACTGAACGACATGATGAAAAATAGCACAAGAGCCTGGTTTTCATTACTAACCATTTTGTAAAAAAAAAAAAAAAGAAAATTTATGGAAATGTAGTTCATTAAATTGGATAGAGTCTAAATTTTCAAGAAAAAATTATCCTCCATGCCCGCAAATGAAGACCGACCCTTATTATTTTGGCATTTCCTGGGGCAGTCAATTTGAAACAGTGAATAAAGAGTACTTTCAATATTCTCTAGTACGTGTTCAAGTAATTTGTAACCTTTCAAGCACATATCCCTTTTCTTCAACAATGTCTCTTTTCCAACTCAAAAGGGAATAAGTTGGCAAATAAACTTTCTTCTGTTTTGGAATTCAATGACACAGTGTACTACCTAGAGAAACAGAATTTGTTTGAGTTTGTAAATTTTCTCCCTTTTTCTTTTTTTTACTCACCACTCCCCATCCTCGCTCCAAACAGCTTGAACTTTTGTTCCAATAGGAAATTTTTCGTGATAGTCAGACATGCTTTCAGCTTCCTGCATACAAAAAACAAAAAATATTAGAACACCAAAATTCCATGTAAACATTATGTACATGGATGGAATACAATATTGAAATACAATTCAAAGGAAGGTTGATTCAACTGCCAAGCAATTTATGGCGTCTCTTGAGTGGTACTGCTTCCATATCAAACCATTCAAATTGTTTTTTGCAGTATGTCTTAAAAATAATAGTGTTGACTTCCTTCCATAGCTTATGTGTGGCAAACCGAGAAGAATAGAACAACATAATTTTGGTTGCTGCTTGAGGGAAAGAGATTGTCAAGTGGAGGCTATTTGAAGGTGAGTATGGTGGAGTGAAAATGGTGAAAGCCAAAAATGAAAAATAGTGGAACCAAATGAGGTGTTTTCTTCTTGTAACATGACGAGGAAGAAGATAAGAAAAAGATGAAGATAGTGTTTTTGGAGGGGAAAAAATGGTGGCCAAGAAGAAGAGTTTCCTCCTCTCCCTTGGGAAGAAAAGAGAAGAAGATGATGATGAGGGAGGGGAAAACATGGGAGAGAAAAGAAGGGAGATCAATAGATGAAGTTGCTTGCTAGAAGAAAAGGAAGTAGAAAAAAAATTATTAGTAATATTTGAATTAAATGTATGGCAGCAACGAAACTGTTGCTTGCCAGAAATCAGTCATTTTCTGCACTCCTCACTTTGTGTGGCAGCAACAATTTCCTGGATAGAAGGAAGGGGTTCTGCACCCATTATTATTCCTCTAACATCGTTTGGCTCCTTGTTAAGACGAGGAAAAAACTTCAAGGTCTCCTTTGTTCAATTATCTTCTGATACAAAGATAAGATTTCAACACATTTTCATGCATAAGTCTTATACATATCTAATTATTGCCAATGGTGGGTTAGGAAATCAAAATATTGAGCGACTACGAGATCTCCTTAATAAGAGATCGTGCTTTCATTGAGAAAAATGAAAGAATGTACAAGGACATACAAAAATACCAAGCCTCAAAAGGAATCCACCACAACCTACAAAAACAGATTATAATCTGAAAGAGTAAGACCTAATTGATAATAACAAAAAAATAACAAATTCATGGAAGCCCATAAAGAGGTATTAAACCTCACAGCCTCCCACCTCTCCCCTCGATACCTCTCAACCCTTCTAGAGATCCTGCTGTTTCTCCTCCTAAGCCACTCTCCCACAAAATTGTGAAACATGTCTACCATAAAACTCTTCCCTAATCATGAAAGGGAGAGTTCATTAGAATCTCCTAATCAAAGAGTAACAATCCCAAACTAACTATAGCATCTAATCCAAGGAGAGTGAGCAAATTGACAACCCCACAAGAGATGATCTAGATTCTCCATATGACATTAGGAAAAAAAAATATTGTGGCCGCGAACACAAAGGAGGAATGTCGGCTATAACCATGGATGGTTTATCTCTCTCTCATGCTAGATTTTACAAGAAAAAAAATCACTTTCTCAGGAATTTTAATCTTCCAAAGAAAGGAAAAAGACGGAGGCTCCCTGAATAGAAGGGAAACAAAGAAAATGAAAGTGTGAACAAGAGAACCCCTTAGAAGGTCAATACCTATAGATAGATCACTACTTCCAAGTCTAAAAAGGTAAATAATAGTATAGCAAAACTAAAATATGCTCCATCTTACCATCAAATTGTTGACACCGCAACCAAATCATTACCATGGACAAGTTTTCTTATTTTGATGAAATTATTTTCAGGCTTGGCTTGTATTCAGTATTCCACCCAACTTGAGGAGAAGTATAGATCTGTATCATTTATATAGGCTACTATTTTTCAAATTAGATATTAGTCTTTTTTTTTTGATTAATAGTTAATATTTTCCTTTCCTAATCAGTTTCAATGCTTTCTATTTGTATTGCATCATATGTCTATCCTTGGGTTATTTAAAACCTAATAATTAATTTCTCCAAAAATCACATAACCTATAAATTAAGCGAAACAAACAAGTTTCCTTATAAATCCCACAAACAAGTTCAAATACAAAAGAGCCTCTAATTGTTAACAATGATTGAAACCATAAATAAATCGCTTCCAAGCAGAAGCACACAGAGAATCCTAGGCCAAAAATATGCACCACAAAGAATCATTGAAGCACATAACAATAAAACTACATGTCAGTAACCATTTAGAGGGATGCTTCCAAATAAGGCAAAGAAACAATACCAACATATACAATAAACAATACAGAGATCCAAGCAGTGCACATTAAATCTAAAGCCATAACCATTAATTATATAATGTTGCTTCCAGCAGAGATGTAATGCTCAAAACAAGAACAAATGTGAACTTACCATCTTATTTCCTTTTGTCTGCTGGAAACTAATTGATGCACTGTCATCACCAGTTTCTACATTTGATCCAGAAATCTCATTTTGCTTTGCTGTTGAAAGAAGCTCTTCCGTCAAGGCGATAACCTGCATTACTGAAACTTTAGCCCAAGTCCATGTTGCTGTTAAAATATACTCTTCAACTTAAATTTCATAAAGAGCAGGTATTTGTCCCAAGAAGGGAAAGAAAAAGAAAAAGAAAAAAACACAAGAACTTAAATCTCAGGATCAGCATCTGAAAGGAGGTCAGTGGAAGAGCAGACTTGCCAACGAATATTAGCACACCTGCAAGGGAACCAAGGTAGAAGTGATGTGCATCTTGAGGAAGTTCAAAATTTTCACACATATCCAATAATCATCATTTATGACCAGAGATTAGAGCTCTGGAGCACATAAATGAAAGATACACGGCCCTCACCTTTTCCTCCCAAATACGAGAATGACAATCTCCACAGGGACCATAACTCTCTAGTATTTCCACAACATGTTTCCTTTAAAAGGAAGAAAGAAGACAGACAAAAGAAATAAAGCAAACTTGACTGGAAATCCACATAATAAATAAAATAGTTCTGAGCGTTCTCTGATACTTAGTGCTACCGCAGAAGATGACCCTAAAATACATTCAATGGGAATATGAAGAGTGCTAAACCATAAACATGTGACGAGTTCACAAGGAAGGATGGGCGTACTAGGTGGACAAAATTAAACTACCTCTTCAAGCTCCTTTTCCATATCTATGTACTCAGAGTTGCCAGGATCATCATCTAACAGCTCCCTGACCTGGATCAGAATAGAAATAAGTTATTTTACTGAAAAACGTATACAAAAAAAGTAACAAAGTGGGGAAGCAAAGAACTCATTTAGTTATGGTAAGGAAGTGACTGATTGATAATTAAAGGTTCATCATACAAATGTAAAATTCTTCAGTTGCTTAAACCCTGATAAAAAATTTCAGAATTCTGAATACATAAAAAAAAAAAAATTATAGTAATAATAATAATAAAATCCAAAGAACCAGGACAGATAATACCTCATTAAACTGAAAAGTCGAAAAAAGAAATCTTGATACTATATCTGAATTAAGTTCTAACTTCCTAGGTTTAATGCAATTATCCAATACAGGTTTCATTTCCTCGGGAATCGCTGCAACTTAGCACCGCAACACTCCAAGGAGGTGAGAAAAACCCTAATTCAGATACAAACTACTAGAAAGAACTCAAGAATGACGCCGGCAAAGGTTTAAATGATCATAGATATCCAAATTTGCTTCGAATAAATTTAAAGAAAGAGAACCCCAGTTAGTGAAACAAAATCAAGAAAATTTAACGAAAAAAAAAAAGCAATTCATAGCCAGAAAGGATTGGGCAAGAGGATCACCTGCTGAAGCTGGTCTTTGTAGGTAGAGAGATTAGTAGCCAACTCTTCCATGCTTACATCTTCTCCTCCTTGCATTTTGGTAGAAGATGAATTGAGAAGTTGAAACTATAGAATGGTGTGAGAGAATATCTTGCAGGGATGAACAGAGGAGGAGAAGGAAGAAAAAGAGCGTGAAATTGGGAAAATCTGGACGAAGAATAAGGCACACACAACACCGCCTCCATCGCGATTTAGAACGAAGAAGCCCTTTCAAGGTTCAGTGTTCGGGCTTTGAAATCCGGGTCGGCCCAAAGTAGGGACGGGCACCCGTTTTTAATAATTATATTTTTAAAATTATTTGGAAAAAATATATAATAATGTATAAGGATTAACATATCTTTCCATTCATAGATATATAAATATAAGCATATTGATCAATATTTTTCTACCACAAATAATAATAATAATAATAATAATAATTCATAGGAAATCAAAACTTTAAGCTGTTTTCCAGTGAAAGAAATATTTTTTTTGTATTAATAAAAAATAGACTAAACTAATAAAAATATAACTAAATTATTAATTTTCATACCACGAGTGTACTCTATTTCAAAAATATTATTTTTGAAGATTTTAAAAATATTTTAAAATACCCTTTGAACTATATTTAAATGAATATTTATAAAATTTTAAAACCAGAATTAATGTTATCCTAAATTATTTTCAAACTTTTTCTAGTTTTTTTTTAAAATTTATAGATATTTTATAGATATTTTCCCAACTGCAGTATTAATGGTTTCTATCCAAAATTAAAGATAAAAGTATTTTTGAGATAAAGTGAAACTCACGCTATTTTTATCGATTCAACCTTAATAAAAATATCCCTAAATTTTGTGTTTAATCTAACAAATATTTCTAATTTTTCAAAAGTTTCAATAAGAACACGAAACTGTCAATAAAGTTTCAAATTTACTCTTACCATTTGTTTTGGATGGAAATCGTTATTATTTTAGTTTAATAAATGTGAAACCTTTAGATAATTTCATTAATATTCAATATTTAAAAAAAATAAAAAATAATCTTAGGATTAGTCGGTTTAAAAAATACTCATAATGGAAACCGTTTATCCGTCTCATATATTTTTTTTATGTATTCAAGTTTAAGGTATTTGCGGTCAAAATTTTTTGAACTTTTTTCTAAAAGTTTAAGAAAATTAATATCCCTTACAAAAGTTTTTGGTATTTTGAAACGTAATACTAATAGTTGGTCATGTATTAATTATTTGAGTATATTTTATTTTTTTTAGTTTAAAAATATTTTTTAAGTTTTTTTAAAAAAATTTAAAAGTATTAATTAAAATTTGAGAATTTAGTGATATTGTTTTAACATTTTTTAAAACTTAAGGGCATTTTTTAAACTATTTCGAAAGTTTAATGATATAAAACAAAGTTTATTTTATGTTCGGTAACAGCTCTATTTTTTTTGTTTTTTTAATAATAAAGTTGTTATTATATGTCTGATTCACGATAAAATCTTTTAAAACATTTTACAATAGTGTCATCAACTATGGTAGAAAACAAATCACGTAGATTTTAGATAAAATAAAGAAAATTAAAAATAATGTTCTTATTATAACCTAAGGGTTACAGATAACATGAGTGCTACTACCTAGCTTCAGTCTCATGGTTATCACCACAGTGTCGTCATTTGTGCAGAGATGTGTTGTCTTTATCAAAATAATAAGAGTAGCATATAATTGAGTATTTTAAAAAATACCAGGAAGTGACCCCACTACTAGGGTTAGAAAATGCAATTATCATGTTATCATTAAAGATCATGTCATGCCCTTGATCTCAGCTTCCAATTTAGGTAGAGTTGGATGTGTAGTACTTCTCTACACACGGCTCACATGCGCAGACATGAACCCCATGCAAGTTCGTATACTGCAGAGGGAAGGGAGTATGCATAGTATCATGTTGTACATAATACCATCGTATCAACGTAGTGTATGTATCCATACTAATCAGAACAGGAAAGTATTCCGATGCACGTGAACATACAATATGCATGAAATCTCCATCGTTTAAAATCATGACATGCGTCTATAATGCAATATGTATCTTCATTCATTTCATATATAGCATAATCCTTTCGGGTCATTACATAAGTTAGTGTACAATACGGTATCATACTTTTCATAACATATCACATTTCTCAATGGCGTATCGTGTCAATATGATATTCCATAGCATGACATATCTCATAATAACAATGCATCATAACATAATAAGCAAACATATCAATCACAAGATACGACATGGGCAAGGGACATAGGGCACTAGAAGTTCATACTTTAAACAATTCATCTAACCAAATTAGTAGTGAAACAATTTACCTGGGTACCTTAAACTTCTTTTTTGAAACTCAAGTTAACCGATATGAGTTTATGATATCATATTAGAACTCATTAATCGATCTTATCCACCTAACATCCTCGATTAAGCCCCAAACTTAGTTTATAACATTTTAATTTGACGAAGTTGGTACGAGTTGTCGAATCAGTTCAAGCAGTATTGGGTTTGGGTTATGGGTTGTGCATGGGTTTAGGCTAGTTATGAGTATTGAGCCATGAGTGTTTAGACCTTGGGTTGGTGGAGTGCATTGGGTCGTGATAGAAAAGGGATGGGGTCGATCGATTTCGAGTTGGATATTTCGAATTGGGCTAGGTTCAGATACGACCTAATCCACTTTGTTATCCTTAGTAGTTTGCTAATTCCTTTCTAAGTTTCTCTAACGTCTAGATCTTTCCTGATCTTTCTTGATACTTTTTGAAAAGTATGGAGTAAATAGGTTTAGTAAGATGACAAAACGGATGATGCTACCAACATAGTTAATCTATTCTTTAGGGAAGTGATTAAATTGCATGGTATGCCCAAAACCATTGTTAGTGACGGGGATGTAAAATTTTTAAGTCATTTTTGGAAAGTTTTGCTAGGAAAGTTGGGAACTAAGCTTCTATTTTCTACAATTTGTCACCCCAGACCGATGAACAAACTGAGGTCATTAATAAAACATTAAGAGTCGTACTTACGTCACTAATTTCTAAAAATCTTAAGTCTTGGGAAGAGACTTTACCTTTTTAGAGCGATACATAGTACCACTTATTATTCACCTTTTGAGGTTGTGTATGGATTTAAATCTTTTAACTTCTCTAGATTTATCACCTTTGCCATCTAATATGTTTGCTAATGATGCAGCTTCTTCAAGAGCCGAATACATTAAAAAAAAAATTCACAAAGACATAAAAGAAAGAATTGAAAACAAAAATAAAAAGCTAGTCTATTGCGAGAACCAAGGAAGAAAGAAATTGATTTTTAAACAAGGTGACTGGGTTTGGGTTCATCTACGAAAGAAAAGGTTTCCAAATTAGAGAAAGTCTAAACTTCAACCCAGAGGATATGGTCCTTTTCAAGTACTAGCGCGGATCAACGACAATGCATACAAGCTAGATCTGAGAGGTGAGTACAATGTAAGTTCTATTTTTAATGTGGCTGATTTAACTACATCTAATGGGAATGAAGACTTTGATTTGAGGATAAATCCTTTTAAAGAAAACGGGGATAATATAAATCTAACTACTTATCCTTTACATGTACTCGAAAGACCAATTACAAGTAGAATAAAGAAGATTCTGGAAGCATTTGAGCGCAAAAATCTTTATAATATTAATATATCAAATAATGGACCGACAATAAATACCATTTGACATTGGAAGAAGATTTGAATACTTTTTCGTTGCAGTTGAACTACATTTAAGACTATTTATGTCATGTCTTATTTTATGGTTTTATTCCATTTTCACTTAATAGCTTTTTTGGCCTATTTGGTGTAACCTTTTTGGTGTTATTCTTTTTCAAATCTTGTTTTAGGTTTGATGTTAAACCGATTCATTGGATTAATGTTGATCAAACTAATTTTGGAGTGAATCGTCTTGGTATCTAAGAGTGACCATTATATATTCTGAGTTCGATCTAAAAGTTATTAGCTCTTGGTTGGAATCATCCGTTAGGTTAACTTTGCAAATCCATCATTGTTGAAGTTTATCAAATGAATGTACATCTGTAACATACTTCCCTTCCATCAAAGTTTTCAATAACGAAAGTAAATATTTTGTCTTAATATAGTATGGGAATCAAACAAATTGGATTGAATAGAAAACAATTATATTGTCCTCACAGCTTCTCGAGTGAATTATGCTAGCAGTTTCGAGGAGTGATCACGTTTGTTCACCATTATATTTGTCCAAAATGGGGACAAGTGTACTACTTACTACTTTCAGATGTATAGTTTCTTATTATATTTTGTAAGAGTATGAAAATTCGACAAAATTATGTTCATGCTTGGTAAACTTGAAATGACTCAGAATGTAGTATAAGAAGATATGACTAGTTAGTCAATTCTTCCTAATCTGAATTATATGTTATCTAAGCTATTATGTTGCCTTGTTTGCTACCTTATAACATTGCTTTCAACTTTACTTTCTAAAATCTCTTGGCTCGATTTTCTAAAACTTTCTTCTTAAAGAGGGGCCAAAAGCTTAAGCATACAAAACGGAAAGAGACAAATTTGAGTTGGATAGCATGCTTAGTTCATGAAAATTGATAGTGCTCATGTAAAATCACCAACACTTATGAACACCACACACTAATGTACGATCGTATAAATGCAAGTGTGTAGCGGTACATTTTAACATATTCCCTGTTTTCAATAGAATGAAGAAGAAATAGTCAGACAGCACAACATTCACTTGCAACACTTCTCAGCTAAATGAATCTGCAAATTTGATCAGAAAATAGCTGAACCTTCTTTTACCACTGGGAGGAACATATGAGTTTGCGAGACATATGAAAGCGTCTACTCAAGAACAGATCGAGAGAGACAAAATCATTCACATCTAAACTGACCCATGAGTAACATGCGTAGAACACAAAGATTCACAAAATGGTTATTTAGCTCTCTGAGAATGTGGAATACGTCATTATGATAGCGTTCGCCTGTTGAAGGACTCCACAGTTAAGTTTGCAGTAAAAGCTGGTATTGAATTCATCTTCCGGATGAATATCTCAACCTGCAAAAGTTAACTATCTAACAGTCAGTTCTTTTAATATCTGTAAATACAAATCTTCCGGAAAAGCAATTACACCAGAAATAAATACCAAGATCAAATGGATACTTTATAACATGAGAGTTAGCGGAGCCTGTCCATCTTAACATGTAACGAGATGCAAATAAAACATTCCGAAGAAAATCCAAAAAGTAAGCGGTTTTGGCTATCTTGCATTACATTGTGACAGTTATTTTATTTCCTTTTTTAATTAAATAGGAAGTTCATAGTATTAACTGTATCATATTAGTAGTAATTTGTGATAACATGTAAGAGTATTTCCTCAACTGCAATAGGTGTTTTTTCTACTTAAGATACCTTTTTTTCTCATATGAATAAGACAGAAGTTATATTTATCTTGATATTTTAGACGGTATTAGAGTCAAAATAAACCCTAAACCTAGTCGCCTGCTGTTTGATTGCGACGGGTCTCTGCTACTTGTGACTCTGGTTGCGACCTTCCTTCAACTATTCAATACATGTCGTTATCCGATTTTCCCAACGCCAAAGTTCACAGCCTTGGTTTGCCACCGGATCATTCGAACACACAAGGCACATAACCACTTTTTTTTTGGGTGCTGGTTTTACATCTATTCGTTGTTTGCAACTTGGGTTGCATTTGCCCATCTGGGTATACCATTTGACAGGTTCTTTGCTCACTAGTTCAGCCTGCCCTTAATTTTCAGGGTTAGTAACCAACATAGTTATTCTTGAGCAAACAAGTCAGAAAATAAACCAATTTTTGGATAATCATATCAATCCCGATAGCCAGTGTGTCCAAACTACTACATGCTACATCACCAATCAACTAAAATCTTAAGTCGATGGATTATGATAAATTTAATTATATCAATACTTCAACACTTCCCTCCACTTAGGGGTTTGAAAAATTGAAGACCCAACAAGTGGAAACCAACATTAATTGGGAGGAAATAACATTCTAGGAGTTCGAACATAGAACTACTTTCTCTAATACCACTTGTTAGAGACAAGTGAACTACCTATGTCTCCATGATATTGTCCACCTTGGGCAATGTCTTAATGACCTTATTTTTAGAATCACCCAAAAAGGCACATGCCAATGGAGATGGTTGTTCTCAATTACATACCCATCATCTTCCTCTTTCTTAGCCAAATGTTGGACTTTGGTCACCCTCCTAACAATTTTCCTCCAGACTACATAGCCCTCCTCAAATAGTAATCTATCCGTTCACTTCTCTAGCTTCAATGGAGCCTGGTCTAATTCAAGCTTGCTCTTCTTTTTTGGGATTACTTCACGTACCAAAAATGTTCGTTTTGAAAACCTAAGGACCAAATAGGAAACTAAGTCTAAATTCCAAGGACCAAAAGTATATTTTACCCTAATCTTAATTTGAGTAGTGCTCTATACTAATTCAGAGTCTGCTAATCGTGCTTTCCATTGCCTCTCAAATCAATAGATGATAATAGAACCTTCAATCATGTGAGGCAAGGATTAATTAATGCAATTCATGAACCAACCGTTTGATTCAGAAAAAAAATTCTACATGGCCCCTGCCAGTGTCAGGCATAAGAAAAGAAAATAAACAAGGTAAAACTAATTTGCATACCTGACGAGATAACTCAGGTTGAGAGGTATAATTATTTGCCTGTTACAAGAATAAGAATAAAAGCTTAGACGTCTTTAGAAATATTTTCTTAAACTATAATCTTGAGTGAAAACTTTACATAAAATAAGATATATATATATATATATTTGTTCAGTTAAAATTAATTAAGTAATTATTAATTAAATAAAATTTATTCCTGCACAAACAGAGACTAAAAAATAAAGTGAACATTGTAACTGCTTTTGTTTTTGTATCCTTCAAAAACTCTTTTCTAGAGCATGCATTTCTTCTCTTATAGCATCCTGCCATTCTTTTTTTTGGATAAAACTTCAAAACCTGCGTTAGGTATAACAATTAAATTTAGACTCACAATAAAACTTTTGTGTGAAGGGGATAGTCTTTCAAGAGAGATATAGTTTTGATATGGAGTATAAGGGTCGTTTTGTATGTTCTTTAGTGGGTTTTCACAGAGTTATGGGTCTATCATCTTATTAGTACCTGTGTTGCATTTTCATTTGCAGTGGAGTCATATGTTTGGACTTGTATTGATTGTGAACCGACTTTTCTTCTAGCATATACTTGAGAGAACAGCAGATCTAATAGTGGAGATGGTACGTATGGTTTAGTTGGTAACTCAATGGTAGTATATTTAGTGTGTTTAAGGGATGAATAGTTTTCCAAGGACTCTCTTCAATTTATATGTTCTCCCCCTAAAGAGAGGTTTTGGAGAATAACGGTTTAGGCTCGGTGAATGTCACATCAATTGAAGTATAAGATTTCCTAGTTGTAAGGTTGTGGTATCCTTGACTACTGGTATTGCTCTCGGATCAAGTATAAGATTTCCTAGATGTGACATTGACTACTTGACTACTAGTTGACTACTGGTATCAAGGATTTGAAAATTTGCAATAAGGATGCAATAGAGGAATTGTGGGCTTACTGGATTCTTCTTTTGATTTGAGCGGCAGTGGCGAACTTCCTTCTTCTTCTTCTTCCTTTTTTTTTTTTTTTTTTTTTTTTTTTTTTTTTTTTTTTTTTTTTTNAAGATTTCCTAGATGTGACATTGACTACTTGACTACTAGTTGACTACTGGTATCAAGGATTTGAAAATTTGCAATAAGGATGCAATAGAGGAATTGTGGGCTTACTGGATTCTTCTTTTGATTTGAGCGGCAGTGGCGAACTTCCTTCTTCTTCTTCTTCCTTTTTTTTTTTTTTTCTTTTTTTTTACTTTTACTTCTTGCTATGTGGAACTCCAAATAAGTAGACTGAGTGAAACTTGGTTAGGGTGATGACAACTATAGACGCTCCAAATGAAACTTGATCACAATGGATGATTGATAGCCCATGAAGGCTTCACCGTTTGGGTTAGGGTTCAGTTTTAATCAGACTTTCAGAATAGAAAAAGCTCTATACTATGTTGCAAGTCTAAACTATCTTGCTACACTTCATTATAATTTCAAATAATTTCAAAGAGGTACATGCCCCTTTTATAATACAAGAAGCTAACTAAATCCCTAGATACTAGGTACAATAAATCTAAATAAATCCTTAGATACTAAGTACAATAAATCTAAAATTAATAAGGTTACACAAATATATCTAAACTTAAGGCTAAGAATTTCATCAATATTCTTTAAATCAAGGTTATTCATTCAACGATTATCATACCAAAATGTTTGTATTCCCAGATTCATACTCAAATTGGAGTTTCTCATCATCACTTTGTGCATATATTGATTGGAGGGTAAACCGTGTAACTGGAATGCCATCGGTTCGCTGGTGTTCATCCATCACAATCTGAAAACATTATTAACAGTTTGAGTAAAAGATGACAGTAAGGTACAAATACATTATAGTCAAACATCAATTGTACACACACTAGGTACTTCAGTTGTACAATTCCTAATAAACTTATTTGAAGATTGTCCATTGCAATTATTTTTTTATTTCAACATGTGGTGGGACCTTTTAGTCAAAAGTATACACTTTATGCTAGTGGGGCTATAGTCACTTTGGCAGATTGTCCATTACGATTTGAACTTATATAGAAGCAATCAAGTATGAAGATGAAAATAGTTTTTTAGAGCAAATACCTTGTAGCCAAAAAGTTCGCAGCAAGCCCTTCTGAACACTGAAATTCTATCCGCAAAAACAGTCTTATACCTGTATCGTAGTAGTATCAGATAATGCTCCATTAATTGAAGAAATAAGAAAACGTATCAGACAATGCTCCATTAATGGAAGAAATAAGAAAACAATTCATCAAACCCTGCAACTACTGGATGCTGCATCCATCAAGCACTGACCTCTCTTCACGCTTTTCAAGTGTTGCAATCTGTTCCTTTAGCTGCATTATTTTTCCTGATATGTACGAATCCACGAGCTTCCCGGCATCACCTGAATGGTTAACGTGCATTTAATATCAATCATTAAGAATATAATTTTTCCATACTTTGAAAGGATGGAACAAGGCTAGTTAAACAATTACAAATGTATTTTTGTTGGATACCCATCTATTCAAAAGGGGGATTATAAATGCCATCACCTATTATAGTATAGGTGTGAATAAAGGATCTAATTAGTTTTTTTTTTCTTTATTGTAATTTTACTATTCTTAGTTCATGGCTTCCATGTGTACCTATTGTTGGCCGCATACATGTTAATTATCTGTAAAATCACTAATGATTTTATTTTATTCTTGTTCTGATTCTTTCCTTCTATGTATTCAACTTTTCCCCTATATAACAAAGTTATGTATCTTACACTTGAATTAGTGAAGTACAAAGTATTTTATTCCATTCAAAGTGGTATCAGAGCTAGGAAATAAGAACTCTAGTTTTTTCTTTCAACACCAAACCTAGCTATCTCACCTAGCAGCCGCCGACTGATACTGATTGGAACTCTAGCTATTGTCTTGTATAGAACACAATATCTCCAGTGTATTAGTTATTGAAGTCTCTATTCTTGTTCGTTAGTGTCATTAAACCTTCAGTCCATGTCATCTGTCAACTTTGCAATCTATGTTTGTTGACTTCGTTTGTGTTCCACTTTGTTCCCTACCCTCTCCGTCAGTCTCTATGACATTCAACTCTGGGTTGAAATAGATCACACGCCCCTATTATTCAACATTGAGTGTTTATTCGAGCATGCCATTGATTGTCATCGGAACAACGCACCTGCCTCTAATCATGGCATGTTTGTCACAGCTTTGTCTGTTTGTAGCGCCTGTTTGTTGGCATTTGCTGCTTTCTTTCTTTTCTTTTTTTTTCTTTTCTTTTTTTATTTCAAGTTGTTCAAGGTTTTTCACTATAACCTAATATCAAGATCAGGTCTGGGTCTGATTCAGTTCTAGGTCAGGTCTAGTTGGGTTTGGTTTAGATTTGGTTCGATTTACATTCTGGTTTATCTTATTCTGTGTTTTGCAAGTTGGTTTGGTTTAATCTGATTTGTTTTAAAATCTCATAGTTGACATGTATTTTATTATTTCTATTACTCGCTACTTGCTACCATGTCGAGCATATTCATCAAACTTTTCCTTGGCACAACCAAGTATTTATCCTCGCGTCTTCTCTGGTCGCAAAACCATTATACTTAATCCCAGCTTGTTGATTGAGTTGTATAAATTTGAGGTTTCCTCTCCCCTCAATGAATAAGAAAAACTTCTCTCCCATACATAACTTCATGGTATCAAGGCCTTGAATTTCTTTAAGCCCTAGCTTCGTCGTCAGACTAACCTTCTTTCCAAGACAGTCACTCATCCACAGACAAAGCCGAAACTCTCAGTCTCGGTCATCCCATTCACCATCACTCATCTCAATCTCGAAACCTTCGTATGCCATTGTTGTCGCCTCATGGATCTGCCTTAGTGTCGTTGTCGCTCACCTTAAAATACTAGCCACCTTCACCACTACCTTCATTAGATGTTGTCGTCGTTGTTGTCATTGTTACAGTCACCACTTCTGCCGCCACTGCTAAGATTTTTTAGGAGATGAAAAGTTCTGAAGAATCCCTTTTGAATGTTTAGCTTCTTCTTGTGGAAAAATATCACCAATAGAATAGAGAGGATTAACCACATTAGGACGGAAAACAGTAATCCTATCATGATCAATGAAATTTATTGGTTTTAAGGCATCCTAATCTTTCAAATTAAGAAGTGGATCATGCACTAAAGGTGCCTTAGAGCTAACGACTACTTCATTCAACTTATCTTCATACGACAAAATAAATTCTTCATCTTCCATTGCCTTTTTTATCCTCCTTAAATCCATTAAATTTGTAAAGTTTCTGAATGATAATTCACGTTGAAGTCAATTACTCAGACTTGAAGGGTCAACCGAAGCTATATCACCAAATCGTAGATAGTATCTCATACCTGAAGGAGTCTTTAATTCTTCAACAGCTTGTAACTTCTCCTTCGTCTTCTGCAATTCAGATTTTAAGGCCTCTATAGTCTGTTTTGCCTCATTATCGACAGCGAGGGTATTCACCATTCGTAGAACCTTTGTATTTGTTGAGGAAAAATCACCATGTCCTAACTGGAAGAAGAAAGAACACATCAATTTCCAATCAGTTACTGGGTCAACAAGCTCCGTGCTATTCAATTAAGTTTGGCTCATGAGACAAGCACCATGAAACTGAAAAACATTTAGAAAATAGAAAAAACCACCCAACCTATATAAGTAGTTAAATCACACCTCAAACTGAAAGTTTGATCAATCAGGCCCCTAAACTTACAAAATAATTGTAATTAAATTTAATTACAAAATGCACAAACCACCATCCCTAAGCTATTATCCCTAATCCCTGAACTATTGTTCCAATCAAACCCTCAAGCTATAGATTTTTTACAATCAAACTCAAAATTCGCTACATCAATTTTTTGTTTTCTTAAATCAAGAAAGCAACTCCACATCAGCTTGAAAGCCAAATTTTTAATGATTAATACTATTGTTCTTAGATTTTATACCATTAAATCTACCATTCAACCTAATTAAGCTGATAGATTATGGTAAAGTTAATTATATCAATATTTCAACACTCCCCCTGCTTGAAAATTTGTAAAAGACGCAATGACATCACAGGAGTTCGAACACAAGACCTCTTGTTCTAATACCTTGTTAAATCCCGACTCAATTCAACAACTTAAGCTGATAGGTTATAGTAAACTTAGTTGTATCAATAGTTCAACATATAATGTTATGAATGCAAGGTTGTTGTCAGTTTATATTGACCTCTCCACCAACTTGATGTTAAGAATGCAAGGTTGAAGGTAGTGTTGAAAAATACAAAGTTAGTTGCTAGAGGTTTTACTCATATTCATGGGATTGATTATCAAGAAATGTTTTTGCTTACGGCTAAAATTAGCTCTATTAGAGTGCTTTTGTTTGTGGCAGCCAATTTAGATTGGTCTTCCCACCAACTTGATGTTTTTTTTAACAAGAAACAACTTCTCATTATAAAATGGAAATGAAAAAAATGTTCAAGGGAAACAAACTCCTAAAGGAAGTGAAAAAGAAAGAAAAAACAACGATAGAAAATACAAAAAAAGAGAAAAAAAGAACCGAAGGTAAAAGACTCATTCGTGTTTGTATTTCTACCTATGGTCAGAATCATCTGCAAACCGAAGGTAGTTTTAGAAAGGATAAGGATATTGAAGACAGAGGAGAGTCGAGAAAATTTATTAACAAATTAATTATGAAACTTCAACTTATAGGAAGCAAAAATAACAATATGTAAATAAACCTACAAACTAATACAACTAATAGAATGGAAGCTGGTAATAAAACTACCTCAAATACATATGTTTTACTCAAATCATCTTCCATCACAAGAGTCACAACTTGAATACGTATGGAGTCTAGAACAGTTTTTAAATATTTAAGATATTATGATTTGCAATCCTTACAATAACTTTGTTACATACCTTCGACTCCAACAGAGAAATTTCAGAACGGAGCCGATCAGAATCCCTCTCCAACGACTTTATTCTTTTTGCTTCGTTATTTAATCTCTCATTCAACAACCTTAGCTCATCATGTTGACGGCCATTAACCTGTTTCTGCTCATGCAAGTTACTTTCTAATTCTTTAATATACCAATCTTTCTTTGCAAGGGCTGAGTCTAGTTCCTGTAAGATCGAACAGAACACAGACACAAAGACCTTCAGAAGACTAGCATGAAGTTAGCTTGTGAAACAATGATAATGTGGAAACCTGAGAAATAGTTTCACTTGTTGTCTTAGCCTCCGCATCACCATTTTTCAGACTCTTCAACTCATTTACCAGACTTTTCAATTTATCCCTTTCTTCAGTAGCCACAGAGAGCTGAAATAAAAAGAATACTTATTTTAAAAAATATAATCATTGAAAATATAATCAATATTTGTTTCTTCCTATTTTAATATACTTATTGTTTTCTATCTACACACACACACAGCTTAACCTCTTAGGTGATCCAGAATCTTTAGTAGTAGTTATATGGTAAATACTACTGAAACTATATGCACATACTAAGTAGGGTAACCATAAGTGCCCAAACGAAAGATACGTGGAAGGATTATAGTAGGCTAACAGTAAAAATCTAATCGTTTAAGAATAAAAAAATTTATAAAAAAAAAAAAAAAAATAGGAACAGAGATTCTCGAAGAGGTCTGAATTTTCTGAGCAGGCAGATAGACATGATACAAGATAAAGGTGAAAAACCTTGATCAGGTCTTAATTAACACTGATATTCACATGCCGATAAAACATATACAAAACATAATGTGAATCTACACCAAGTATAAAGAAACCAAAAAAAAAAAAAAAAAAAAAAATTGGAATTTCATAGAAACATTAAACAGAATGGTGACTAATTCAAATGAGGTTTTATGTCATGCTACCACGTCTACTTTTTCATAAAGGATAGTTTCTAATTACAAGTGAATTCTACTGAACTATACTTCCTACCAACTAAAATCAAAACAATTAATGGTGAATTCATCTAATCAAACATTGAAAACGTTAATGGAAAAGAAAATACAATATCTATATCTATATCTATATCTCTATATCTATATCTATATATATATATATATATCAAGCATATAGAAAGAAATAGGTGCACCAGTTGAGACAAATTAAGTGATAATCAACATTCAGAATATAGTTAATTTTAAAGCATCTTCATAGCCTTTAATAACAAAAGAGATGGCGACTGACTTTTCTTCTACTACAATTGTTAACAAGTGGGAGGCGTACTAGTAAACGTTGAAAAAAAAAGATAAAGAAGACATAAGCACAAAAACTGTGATAGTAATATTTCAGGAGGTAACAGACTCTTGAAGAATTTAATTTAGTATCAAATTGGTATTCGGTAGCAAAAGCCTACAGAAACATAATTTTATGATGGATTTTTTTTTCTTTTTTTTGGTTATTTCTCATTTAACAAATGAAAAGTTACAAGTTATCTTGAAAAAAAGTGGACAAAATCTTACAAGCAATTCATTCTGCTGAGTTTCCAACTTTAATGCTTCAATCTTTTCCTTTGCAAGTGTAG